CTGTGAATACCACTGATTTCATTTCTTCACGAAACTTCACACGGGTGTAAAATGGTCGACCAGGTTTCATACCCCAAAATTCCAGCTTTTTTTATTTTCCTGGCTCTTCTTAAATTTTATAATTCATGTAGGGTTCACGCGCACGCAAGAGCTCCAAATTCGTGTCCCACAGTTCTGCCCTTACACTAGTACTCCTACATAGTCCCGCCACTACATAGTAATTTATAGAAGCACATCTTCATATGTGCTAGCTTGGCATGTTAGTTGGCTAGCTACCTGAATGCGTGACCGCACGCGCTAGCGACTCTGGTCTCGTTGGTAAGAAACATCGCCTTGGTCGGGAGTATTTCTCTAAATGCTACACCTATATGGATATTGCTTCCAATCTCCCGTTTCGTCAAAAACATAGCCCCGGTTGGGAGTGTTACTTGGAAAATGCCACAACTACATGGATACTTCTGATCTCCCTTCTAGTTGGTCAAAAGCATCGCCACGGTCGGCAACATTTCTCTAAATATACTACACCTACATGGATATTGCTACCGATGTCCTTTCTTGTTGATCAAAAACATCGCCACGGTCAGGGGTGTCTTTAAAAATGATATACCTACAATGATATTAACACTGCTCATCTTTATAGTGAGACATGGCTTTTTTCCAACCACACAACTCCCCTATTGCCTAAGTATTCTTAGAATACCACAAAAATATCGTGGTTTTAATTGCACCTTTTTATACTTCAAATTTTATAAATCAAATAATGAAAAAAATTGGACACACTTTATATGGAAATTGTGTTTTTATAATATGCAAGAATAAGCATATAATAGTGAGAGTTCCGCCAAAAAATATTCTAGTGGCATTGTTATTACCCTTAAATAAGAATGAAAACAAAATCAATAGCTAAAAAATCAAAATAATGAAGTTTTATAAGAAATAATGAATTAGTGGCAGTGAAATAATCCTTAAAGAAGAAAGAAAATGAAATACAAAATAAAATAAAATAAAGTACTATAAGGAATAATGAATTAGTGACATTGGTATTACCCTTAAAGAAGAAAGAAAAGGAAAGGAAACTAAAAAATAAAAAAAAGGACTAGGTATGCTCCCGTTGCAACACACGACCTATTAGCTAGTACGTATATAATAGCGCGATTTTTTAAAAAGGGGAGTTTCCTAAGAAGGAATGAACTAGTGGCACTTATATTACCATCAAATACGAAAGAAAATGAAATAAAAAACTAAAACAAAAGCAAACTACTAAACTTTTCTAAGAAAGAATGAATTAGTGGCTTTGGTATTACCCTTTATTAAGAAAACAAAAAAGTAAAAAAATCAAAATTATGAAGTTTTCTCATGAATAATGAATTAGTGGCATTGGTATCACCATTAAAGAAGAAATGAAAACTAAAATAAAAACAAAGTAATATTTTAAAAAGAATGAACTAGTGGCTTTGGTATTACCCTTTAAGAAGAGAGAAAATGAAATAAAAGCAAACAAAATCAGAATGTTGAAGTTTTCTAAGGAAGAATGAATTAGTGACATTGGTACTACCCTTTAAAAAGAAATAAAATGGAAAATTAAAACAAATAATGACAAAATATGCATGCAGTTTGATAGAAAAAATCTTTTTTTATAATATGCAAGAATAAGCATTGGTAGTACCCTGAATGAAGAAATAAAATGAAATGAAAAATAATAATAATAATAATAATGAAGTTTTCCGAGATGAATAAATTACTGGCATTAGTACTAGGCTTTAAGAAGAAGAAAAATAAAAAAATGTTGCACACAACTTTGCACTGAAATTGCACTTTTTATAGTATGCAAAAAATAATGATATAATAATGCAGTTTCTACATATATTTTATAATATATGTGTATACATTTACATTCACCCATCATCAAAAAATACCCACAAAGGAAACATAAATTAATTAATAAAGAAAAAAAGAATAAATACATAAAAACAGAAAAGATCAACCCAAATGATAACGCCCAGACGTGAGACACAAAGCAATCCTCCCACACATTTTTTGATGGCAACTTCAGTTGTGTAGCATGACAACTTTCTGTTTGGATGGAAAGTTTCAGTTTTTTTTAGATTTGTTTTTTTGGATGGCAACGGTAGTGTAAAAAACGTGTGGGTGGTGTTACTACATGCCACACGTGTGGTAGTTATCGGGGTCCAAGAACAAAGGGATAGAGGGGAGGGCTACGTCGCACATGTAATCGTTTCAACGCGTTAAGGGATTGACTGAACTAAATATGCGGTTACTCTAAAACCCTAGCCCAAAACAATTGACATAACAACATAGAAAAAAAAGGAGCATATATCTCAACACAGAAACCAACAACCAAAAAATTTGACTAGCCAAAAATCAATCTTTAGTCAAATTACATATAGCTATAGTGATGCCACAAATACCCATGCAAAAGAGAGAGAAAATGGCTGAAAATAAGAAAGCAAAAGCAAAAACACATACGAACATAAAGACATGCAATGTGTAACGAGCTTCAAGCACAATAAAAAATACCGTACCAATCTAAAGAAGACAAAACCAACATATAAGAGTTGTCCACATGGGTACTTTAGATGAGGATGCAGAGAGAAAATATGCTATGTCTACACCACATTTTTAACCACTTGATAGTATTTATCCATGTTTAGCTACGCAAGTCTTGGTGGTATTTATCCACCTTTACCTATGCAATCAATCGATGCCCATCATTGTGCCTTGTTAGACTCAAAAGGTTTCTAATGGATTGATGGCGAATGGAAGTTCAAGTGGTGTGCCTATATTCCTATAAGTGGGAAGTTTAGTTCTACATTACCAATCTTGAGAAGTCTAGGGCAACCCATAAGGGTTGTCCACATGAGTACTCTAGAAGGGAATGCAAAGAGAAGATATGATATGTGTGCTACATATGTGATCACTTGATAGCATTTATTCACTTTGAACTACACATGTTCTTTGCATATGTAGAATTATATTAATACTAGCATATGCACTATTCTCAACATATCTTGTGTCACCAACACTCCTATTCTAACTGTTGGATCTTTGTCTCCCTTCATAATGAGAAACCTAGAGAAAAAATAACCCATTGTCATTAAAGAAACCACACATGCTTTTTACGCGGAGTTGGTCCATATCACAAACTATATCTTTGGCACAATATACCAAGAAAACATGTCCTATGCTCCCCGGGTAGCTTTACCTTGCCAACTCACCCTTCTTAGATGTCTATATGTCAGGACGCGGATTTTGTCAGCACGGGCTCACATGGGCTCGAATGAACAGTAAAATAGTAAAAAATAGTTCTTTTAAAAACATGAGTTTTTTGACCAAACATAGATGCGTGTTTCACGTGCGTGCAAATTTTCGTGGTGGAATGACATTCGTGGAAGTTAGCTGCATGCAAATTTTCGTGATTGAATGCCATTCGTGGAAGTCACCCGCATCAATGTTTGTTGTATTTTTTAAAACTATTTTCATGGTTTTACTCTTCATCTAAGCTAACATAAGCTCATGCTCAGAAGAGGACTTACAAGCAAATTATCTCTTTCATATTCTTAGTTGGTGGCGTTACCGCTCCACATTCGAGCTTTGCTTCAAGGCTGCTCCGCCCTCCGGCTGACATTTTCCTCTAAGCTTGAGGTGCACTAGAATTAATTCCATGGATGATGACTCGCATCTAGAACTCCAACTCATCAGCCTCTGGCTTATTGATCCCTTAGTCTCAAGAAAGGAGGAGGGAAGCATTGTAGAACAACAAAGGAAATGGTTTTAGAGTAATGAAATAATACAATATACGTATTTGCTACTTCCTGAACGGCTAGAAATTGTTTTTCGGGTGAGCGGGGGAGGGCTAATTTTTTTAGCCCTTGTTGCCCTTGTTTCAATAGTTGAATCTATGTCTCCCTTCACAATGAGAAAACCTAGAGCAAAAATAACCCATTGTCATTATAGAAATCACAAATGCTTTTTACTTGGACTTGTGGAATATCACACACTATAAATGTGTCTGATGCATCCATGTAGCATTACGTTGTCAACTCGCCATTCTATATGTCAGCCTGCAGATTATCACTTTCATATTGTTAGTTGGCGGTGTTACCACTCCACATTCATGCTTGCTTCAAGCGTTGCTCCACCCACCGACCGACATTTTCCTCAAACTTGAGGAGCACTAGAATTAATTCTATGGATGGTGACTCACACCTAGAATCCAACTCATCAGCCTATGGGTTATTGATCCCTTAGTTGCAAGGAAGGAGGAGGGAAGTATATTGTAGAACAACAAAGAAATTTGCTTCGAGGCACCCAAATAATAGATATATACAAAATGCAGGTTCGCTACTTCTGGAACGGCCGAGAAGTTGATTTTAATTTTGCGGAAAGGGCTATAAAATTGCAATTCAATGGTGCATATCTTCGACTTGGAAATGAAAATGAAATTTTATTGATGATAGTCTTGATAAATCGACATACACCCATTTAGTTTCAGAGATTAAGTATCTACTTGTTGGTAGAGAGTTTGTTCCTTTAAAAATTTCTAGAGCTCAAAACGGAGTAGCAGATCGCCTGGTGAACTATGATAGAATAGAGTGTAGCACGGCTTGTTGGCTACAGGTTTGCCCACCTTATATCAATGAGATTTTGCCAGCTGACTGTAACTCTGCATCTATGAAATAAAACTCTTTATCCTCGCAAAATAAATAAATAATGGACACTGTCTAATCAAATAATCAAACCCCTATCCAAGTGAAAGGAAGTGCCCACCACACAAACATGGTCTCAGCCGTACAAGTGCACCTATCCCGGCCGGCCCGGGCTGCCTGAACCCAAAACCCCAAGCCGAGCGCGCGCTCATCTATAAATCGCGCTCGAACATCACAGCGAGGCATCATCATACGCCCACGCTCACCACTTGGCTCACTGTCGTACTCGGTACCCTACAGCGCCGAAAGAGCTGCCAAGGGGCTCCGTCGTCCATGGACGTGCCGACCGCCGGTGGAGCCGCCGCCGCCGCACCGCAGCGCAGGGCCTGGGAGTGGGAGGGCCGGGTGGTGTCCCCGGTGCCGGCGGCGACGGCGGACGAGGCGTGGGCGCTGCTGTCGGACTTCCTGGCGTTCCACAAGTGGCACCCGCGCGTGGCGGTGTGCCGCCTGGCGCCGGCGTCGCCCTCCGGCGCCGCGGCGGCGCCCGGGTGCGTGCGCTACTGCGAGGGCACCCCGCCGGGCGACGGGGCGCCCGCCGACTGGGCGCACGAGACGCTCCTGGAGCACGACCAGGCCCGCCGCTTCTTCCGCTACGAGATGAACGACAACAACATGGGGTTCGGCGCCTTCTTCGCCGCCTTCCGCGTCGTCCCCGCCGCCCACGCGGCCGGCGGGTGCGAGCTGCGGTGGGAGTTCGAGTGCGAGCCCGTGCGGGGCACGCCCAAGGAGGCGCTCGAGGCGCGGCTGCAGGCCGGGCTCGACGGCATGGCCGCGCGCGTGCACGAGCACCTCATGTCCGCGCGCGCTGCCGTCGCCGCAGCCGCGCCGGCCCCCGCCGTGGCCGCAGGGCTGGAGGCCGCCGACGAGCTCAAGCTCGACAACTCCATCGCGGCCTGAGCTCTGAGCAGTGAGCACTCGATGTACGCACACGGTTCCACGTCTGCGTGCACGTACCGACGACGCACGTACGGTTGGTTGTGATCTCGTCCCGTTTCTTTCTCGCGGTACTACGTACGTTGTCCGATGATATTTTCTCTTTGTTCTGTTCTGGCCCTTCTGGGCCTTTGTCGGTTTGCCGTTATGTATGTGCGGCTACGTACCGTTTACTACAGTACGGTAGTGCCCTTATATATACAGCTGTACCGGGAATAAATGTATGATATTACTCGTAATATATGCAAGTGATCAGTGCATGTGCAGTCTTTTACAATCTTATCACGTACTCACCCGGCTGCATGTGTTACATAACTTTCGAGCAAATTATAGGAGTATATTTTTACCTAGCACGTTACGTTAAAAGTAATCTTTCTATTCACTTTTGTATGTCGTTTTAGACGGCTGAAATTGAACTGTTTTAGATGATATTATAATAAATGTCTAAAACCTCTTATAAAAGTGAACGAAGGGAGTACTATAAATACTACTCCCTCCGTAAACTAATGTAAGAGTGTTTAGATTACTATTTTAGTGATCTAAACGCTTTTATATTAGTTTACAGAGGGAGTACTAGTCTACCTCGTTTCAATGTTTAGACTGCATCTCGATGTTTGTTGAGTGGGCTAGAGACGGCGTTTTTGTCAACTACAGAACGCCTATGATGGCTTTGTTTATCCCAAAATTTAGTGACTCGATCTTTCAGAGGTGCCCATAGGGTATAAGGTATACGTGTGTACCTGTTGATCAGGTAAGTGTACTGTGTTTTAGAAAAGAGTTAGGATCTTGTTGTTTAGCTCCTTGCTAACCTTGTACAGTGGACATGTTTTCCATACACAAAATATATAGTATGTTTAGGTTAAACCCGTCTAAAGAATTTTTAAAAAATACAGCGGGAGTTCCTACAGTTTCGCCTAAAGAATTCATGGATCACAGAACTCCGTCGAAAAACAAGACGGATCAAGCATGGCCGCCGTGACGGGGCCCAAACCACGCCAAACTCGCCCGTTCCCTCCCATTCCTCCCGGAGAGACCTCAGGGGTCAGATCGGCGAGATGCCCCGCTTATCTCGTCCCCGTCTTATCGCGCAATCGGGCTGCCGGCTCAGCGCGCAGGCGCCACACACACCACACGCACACAGCTCACCAGCCGCGGCCTGCACCGGAACCGCGCATGTGCAGGCAAAAAAAAAAAGCTAGAGTTATTGCAGCAGCTCGGCCTCTGCGGACATGGTCAGGCACGTAGGCCATCTGTGGCGTACGTATGTTTCAGGCTCCGGCTTCTCGTGTGACGTACGTGATGCGCCGCGCCAGGGGGGTGAGGAGGAGCGGCTCCAGCGTCTCATTTTCGCCGAAAACGAGGCCACGCCACATTGCCACGCCAGGTCCATACGAACTCAGGCCTCGGCGTCTGTGGCACAGTTTTCTCTCGGCGTCTGTGGTGCAGTTTCCGGGTTGAAAGTAAACAAATCCGTCGGTCTCAGACTGCTCCTGCTACGCCCTCACGGTATCGTTGTCGACTCTTGCCTTGAGGTTTGCTGCATCAACAACAACCCACCGCGATCTTGGGGCCATACAAACTGTGCCACAGTTGTTGGATTGTAACTAAAGTTTCTACGGGGCAGGGACAAATACATCGTTCTCGAATTTGTACCACCGCCTTCACGGTGTGCGCTGTCGCCTCTAGGCCCTCTACCTTGGAAAGCAGAGATCACGTGGACGCTCGCGGACAAGGGCGAGGACGCATGCTCTTGGAATGAGACGAAATCGAATTCATGATGACTAGGCCGAGACATGGAATGGGCCTTTTTTTGTCCACTCTTTCGGTGCACAAGACAAGTGTCAAAATTTAAGGACCTCCTCTCCCTTTCTTCCCTTTGGGCCGAAACAACTTTGCCTAAAAAACTGACAGACTAAACATATGTATTTTACAAAAAAAAACGATTTCTCAAAAATAAAAAAAGTTCATAATATTTCTCAAAACATTTAGTAGATTTTGGAAAAAAGTAAATATAAAATTTTACTTATGTTCATGGATTTTATAAAATGATCAGGCATTTTTTATAGACATTTAAAGACGTTAACAATTCAGAAAAAACTTCATTTATTTCCAGAAATTCATCACATTTTTAAATCATGAATTTTTAAAAATGTGAACGATTAAAAAATACATAGTTTTTTTGCAAATGTTTACAAACTTAAAATGTTCATAAAATTAGAAACTAAAAATAAGAAGAAAAACTAAAAAAGGGACAAAAACTATCCGAGTTTGATCCGATCATTGGCTGCGTGTCTCTATCACCTTGCATTTTTTTTGCAACATCATTTGTGTTGCAGAAGTCCTCCTGCAACAACACCCATATTGTAAAAATGTTGGGACAAAAAAATCTATAACATCATCTGTGTTGCAGAAGTCCTTCCGCAACATCACTCATGTTGCAAAAAAGTTTGGGCGAAAAAAAATTCTGCCACAAAACCTCTGTTGCAAATATTTCTGCAACATGAGGTATGTTACAATGGGTTCTGCAACACTCCCTTTGTTGCAAAAATGAGGAAAGGGTTGGACCATGATTGCGCCAGATTAAACAATTCTGGAGGCGGCGCCGCTGGTCGACGCGTAGCGTTGCCCTTTTGCTACTACTATCTGTTGGGGATCGTAACAGAAATTTAAAATTTTCTACGCATCACCAAGATCAATCTATCGAGTAATCTAGCAACGAGGGGAAGGAGAGTGCATCTACATACCCTTGTAGATCGCTAAGCGGAAGCGTTACAAGAACGCGAATGAAGGAGTCGTACTCGTAGCGATTCAGATTGCAGTTGATTCCGATCTAAGCGCCGAACCACGGCGCCTCCGTGTTCAACACACGTGCAGTCCGGTGACGTCTCTCATGCCTTGATCCAGCAAGGAGAAAGGGAGAGGTTGGGGAAGACTCTGTCCAGCAGCAGCACGACGGCGTGGTGGTGGTGGAGGAGCGCGGGACTCCAGCAGGGCTTCACCAAGCACTACGAGAGACGAGGAGGGAGAGGGGTAGGGCTGCGCCAACAGGGGAAGAACTTCGTGTGTTGGGCTGCCCCTTTGCCTCCACTATATATAGGGGGAGAGGGAGGGCTGCGCCCCCACCTAGGGTTTCCACCCTAGGGGTGGCGGCAGCCCCAATCCCCATCTGGGGTGGCGGCCAAGTGGGGGAAAGAGGGAGGCGCACCAGGCATGGGCCTTAGGGCCCATCTGCCCTTAGGGTTTGCCCCCTCTTCTCTCTAGGCGCATGGGCCTTGATGGGGAGGCGCCCCAGCCCACCTAGGGGCTGGTCCCTTCTCACACTTGGCCCATGTATGCCTTCGGGGCCCGTGGCCCCTCCCGGTGGACCCCCGGACCCCTCCGGTGGTCCCGGTACACTACCGGCGATGCCCGGAACACTTCCGGTGGCCAAAACCATACTTTCTATATATCAATCTTTACCTCCGGACCATTCCGGAACTCCTCGTGACGTCCGGGATCTCATCCGGGACTCCGAACAACATTCGGTAACCGCGTACATACTTTCCCTATAACCCTAGCGTCATCGAACCTTAAGTGTGTAGATCCTACGGGCTCGGGAGTCATGCAGACATGGCCGAGACAACTCTCTGGTCAATAACCAAAAGCGGGATCTGGATACCCATGTTGGCTCCCACATGCTCCACGATGATCTCATCGGATGAACCACGATGTCAAGGATTCAATCAATCCCGTATGCATTCCCTTTGTCTATCGGTACGATACTTGCCCGAGATTCGATCGTCGATATCCCCATACCTTGTTCAATCTCGTTACCGGTAAGTCTCTTTACTCGTTCCGTAACACATCATCCCGTGATCAACTCCTTGGTCACATTGTGCACATTATGATGATGTCCTACCGAGTGGGCCCAGAGATACCTCTCCGTTACATGGAGTGACAAATCCCAGTCTCGATTCGTGCCAACCCAACAGACACTTTCGGAGATACCCGTAGTGCACCTTTATAGCCACCCAGTTACGTTGTGATGTTTGGCACACCCAAAGCACTCCTACGATATCCGGGAGTTGCACAATCTCATGGTCTAAGGAAATGACACTTGACATTAGAAAAGCTTTAGCATACAAACTAGACGATCTTGTGTTAGGCTTAGGATTGGGTCTTGTCCATCACATCATTCTCCTAATGATGTGATCCCATTATCAACGACATCCAATGTCCATGGTCAAGAAACCGTAACCATCTATTGATCAACAAGCTAGTCAACTAGAGGCTTACCAAGGACATGGTGTTGTCTATGTATCCACACATGTATCTGAGTTTCCTATCGATACAATTCTAGCATGGATAATAAACGATTATCATGAACAAGGAAATATAATAATAACCAATTTATTATTGCCTCTAGGGCATATTTCCAACAGTCTCCCACTTGCACTAGAGTCAATAATCTAGTTCACATCGCCATGTGATTAACACTCACAGGTCACATCACCATGTGACCAACATACAAAGAGTTTACTAGACTCAACAATCAAGTTCACATCACTATGTGATTAACACTCAATGAGTTCTGGGTTTGATCATGTTATGCTTGTGAGAGAGGTTGTAGCCAACGGGTCTGCAATATTCAGATCCCTATGTATTTCGCAAAACTTTATGTCATATCGTAGATGTTGCTACCACGTTCCACTTGGAGCTATTCCAAATTGTTGCTCCATTATACGTATCCAGTATCTCTACTCAGAGCTATCCGGATAGGTGTTAAGCTTGCATCGACATAACTCTTTACGTCGAACTCTTTATTACCTCCATAACCGAGAAACATTTCCTTATTCCTCTAAGGATAATTTTGACCGCTATCTGGTGATCCACTCCTAGATCACCTTTGTACCCTCTTGCCAGACATGTGGCAAGGCACACATCAGGTGGGTACTCAGCATGGCATACCATATAGAGCCTATGAC